CCCATTCTTTCCCTATTCTTGATAGAATTTTCTCAAATATCTTTTGATCTTGAACAAAAAGTGAAGCATTTTCAAGAGTCTTTCATTCCCGCCTTTTTATGAAAAACGTCAACTTTCATGCGTTGCCCGCGATATACGTGCGGTCAGCGCCAACAAATGTCCCTGCTGTTGGTTGGGTATGAAACCTGGGGCACACATCGATCCATCACGTGACCAGTGTTTTTGGACTGAGCAATTTACTTTACTGATTTTATAACAATGTCAACTTGTACTGCTACTTTGATCGAAATGTTCAACAAAGACATGGAACGCGCTGCACTTGAGGAAAGTACAGAGTCACTTTGGGGTGCAATTCAGAAAGACCTTGGAGAAACYTTTCTCAGGCAAAAGATCTGTGGTGTTACCAATGGGTTAACGAAAATCCCCGCTGATCATGATCTCTCTGATGCGCAAAAGCAAGATGTTTGCAGCAACAAACTCCCTTTGAAACCCTCTGCTTCAAAGGAAAGCCCTGTTCTAAAGGCCGTCCCTGAAACAGAGTTGCTACTTGAAGTATTGAACGTCAACACCACTAAACAAGATAGCCATGATATGTTGCTTACTGGAAATGGAGCTTCTGACAAAACCAAAACTTCAGGCAGCCAGGAAAGCTCTGTSGTGGCTACAATCCATCCATCTAATCTACAAACAAAAAATGGTATTTATCAACAACRAAAGTTCATGACTTCATCGAATAAGTGTTGTTACTATTTGAAAGCGTATTTTTTATTATTTTTTTTTCTTCGTTTGAATGTAGTGTTGGAGCAATATCCATCAAATTATAACCAGCGAACTCCAGAACACCTACACATGTTGTTTGGTGCAGTACAAACGACTGCAGATCTACAAAATGACGAGATGCCACATGTTGTAATCCACCCAATGCCATCTGAAACCTCGGAAACTAAAATAAACGGTAAGCTATACAAGTTAATAAACGGTTGTTTGTTTTTAAAGAAACAAATTCTCAGTTCTTAAAAATAAAGAGCAATTTTTAAACTTGAAATTCACCCAGTTGTTCAACGAAAAAACGGAAAAAAACTTTCAGAGTTTCATTACCGATTCTATTKTACCTGCCCTTGACTGTTTTCAGAAAAACTTACCTCAAAATGAACTCTGTGTCTTGGTCAATCATCTAATGCTTCTTTAATCAGAACATTTTGTGCAAAAATGGTCAAAAAACCTGTACTCTCGTGAGCTACTTGGTGAATTTTTGTAGGTCAGCATATCAATGGCTTCCTCATGATCTGATTGGCTAGTGCTAGACATATCTAGTTTTTGATTGGTTAACCTCAAAACTCATCAGGGGATCGACAGTCACGTGATCACAAAATGATTGAAAATTCCCGGTGTAAAAACGCGGTGTATATATCCTTGGGCTCATAGAAATAACGAAGAACCTTATGGTAATAGAATAGGTAAAAATAACAAACATWATTATTTTTTCTATTCAACTGTTAGGAGGTTATCCTATTGATTACAACCAACGGACACCAGAACATCTCAATTCTCTGTTTGGTGTTCAAAATGAAAAGAAAATAGACCTTATTATCCATCCGGAGGAAGAGACATCTCACAACTCAAAACCCAAGACAAACGGTAAGCTTATGTTTTAAACGATTTTTTTATTGATTTTTTTAAAAGTAATTGAGATGCCTTGCTTATGAAGTCTTTTAGTCTTCTAGTGACTAAGGAAGCCGTTTTTCAGAAATGCAAAGAAATCAAGATCTTTTTTTTTTGATATCCAGAGCACAAACTCTTGGGAAACTATCCCTTTGGTTACAACCAACGAACTGCAGAACACCTACAGTCGCTGTTTGGTGCTGTGCAAACCACKGAGAGCCAAAGAATTASAAATACACAGTGTGAAGTATCGTCTAAAAAGGCAGAATCGAGGAAAAAMGGTACCATTTACTTGTTTTCTTGTCAACTTTTCCTCACTYCCTCAGAGTCTGTGTTTACGTCTATTTTGTACTTTTCAGTGCCAATTATTATTGGAAGTTACCCAAAAGACTATAATAAACGAACAAAAGAGCATTTTCATTTCTTGTTTGGTGCTAATTCACAAACACAGGAAGTCAAGGTAAGAAGAAAATAAGATATTTATAAACTTAAAGCGATGACAGCGATTGTCAACGTAMGTGTTCTACTCTGCTCTGCTCCGGAATTTTAGAAGTGTAACATTTCTTGCATGATTTTTCATTTAGGACGAAGAAAAAATTAAAAAAGTAAGAAACAAGAAGGAAAGAAAAAGCAAAGATAAGACAACTGATAAACAAAAGAGGATTAAAAACAAGAATAACAAAGGTTTGTTTCATGTTTTCAGAGACCATTTGATTAATTGTTGTAGCTATTTTACACTGGAGACGTTTGGAATGTTTCTCGAATTGGTCAGAGTTCCAGAGCCCATAAATTACACTCAAAACAGTCTAGTGCTTATTAAATTTGTCCTTTTGAGGCATCTTTACCATCAAATTTTGATTATCAAATTTTGATTATGGGACAGATGATGCACCTACGTTGTGTCCCSTCCCTGGCTATGACCCGGAATTTCACGTCCCAATCATTACGTCCCTSTGTTCTTCCTTTTTATTGACATTATTTAATAAGTTTCGCCATTTCTAATTTACAGTTGGTCAGCAGCCCCTAAACTCATCTTCGACCTCGTTCCACTGCAATACAGAGTCAAAAAAGACCCAGAAAGGAACAACAGGTTTCYACGCCCTCTTTCGCATCGGTCGTAACAAGAAAAATTTATAAATTTTTACACTGCAGTAGATAGATATTAGACTAACCGAATTCAGGGATCAAAAGTAATTGTAAATAGCTTTAGTAGATAATATTAACAATGATTATAAACAGACATATCAGCAATAAACGCTTGATATCATTATCATTTCTGGTCTCTCTCTTTTTAGTCCCGATATTTCACGACTTACGCAACTAGCGACAATAGTTTTTATTTTTTTACTGAACGAAGGATGAAACTCAGTAATTTTCTCATATCAGTTTTGAAGTTTATAATTTATATATTTTTAATGTGTATATGATAATTTAGTTAATTTTAATTTTTTATTATAAACACACACTGCCTTTCGCACACAGTCTTTCACATGTAAAACATGAACGTTTCGCCATTTTCTCGAAAACTGTGAGATTTTACATAGATTCTAGCAGCCGACGGGTATCTGGGAGAAATATATCTGTTCTTATGTCCCAGCCAGCTGTAAGTCACAACTGGTTGCCAGCGAGAAATCAGGAAAAAAGAATTCTCCAGGCAAGGTTTTTCCAGGAAAATAAAAATTTCCTAACTAAAAAAATTAAAAAAAACCCGTTTTTGACCTTAAATTATTTTCAAGAAGGAAGGGCGCCACATTTGCTTGAAGATTGTCAACAATGTAGCTCAAAATCCCTTTCCCAGGAAAAAATTAGAACAAGGACAGTTATTTTGAAGAAAGGAGACTTCGCCTAAACGACTCGACTCGGGAAAGCGTATATTCCATGAGCCTGCGATGTTAGTTGCAGCGGTTTTCATGCAAAAGTAGCGAGCGCATTTCCCGCTGCATTTCAAAATATGCTCTGAAAATATACCACCTATTTGCCTTTTTACAAGGATTCCAATGCTTTGGACGACTTTGAGGTGAGTTAATTGTCTCTGGCAAGGATAATTACAAGACTTAGTGGTCTAAAAGTACAGTCAAAACAAATTAGGAATTCTAAAATATAACTTAGGTTTTAATAAGACTTACTGCTACGTAACTTAATAGAAATATGAAATGCAAAAACTCTCACCTTGTCTCGCAAAATTGTTTCTGTTCAAGTTTGGAGTCCATATTTTTCGTTTAACAGCTTGTCTATGCATTGCCAACATGTTGCTCAACAAAAAACAGGTCATGAAAAACGTGAAACACTGAAATTAGACTTGAAATGATGCAGCAATGTTGCGTGACAAGTTGAGGCTTTCATACATCTCTTATTTCTCAACACCACAGGTACCAAAAACTTAACTTAAGATCATAAAAGGCTCAATKAAGCAAATGGCAAACAAGTGACTTAATCAGGAAAATAATAGATATACATACAGAAAGGTTCCATGTAATGCAATATTACACATAATGAAGGCCATTATATTCAGTGCAGGCAATATTTATTTATATACCTCTCACCACTGTGGTCTGGGTTTGATTCCTGGGCACGGGCCAAATGTGAGTTTGAGTTTGTTTGATGTGTTGTTCTCTCCCTTGCCACGAGGGTTTTTTCTCCGGGTACTCCGAGTTTTCCTCCCTCAGTAAAAATCAACATGTGAGGAATGTTGTGTGGTAAATACTTAATGTGTGAGAGTACAGGGTCTGCAGTAATTGGCTCACGCTGTGCGGTGTCCCTGCGCATACTAGGAGCAAAGCTAAATAAAGTAAATAAAGTTTTTTTTAAAAAAAGAATTACTGATGATGAGTCATGAGGAAACAATTGAGATATCCTTTTTTCCCCCAAGAGTTTCGTTTTCAGTTCTTTGCACATGATATATATCCACCACAATATTGAAAGTGGGCTTTATAGAAATAATCACATAGCATGCCATGTGGAGATGGTCTTACTTTACAATGGTAAAGTAAAGAAAGTAAAGGTAAGAGTGGTTACATAATTCTATAAGCAATTCATTGTGACTCATGTAATTAATTACAATGTTTGTAACAAAGTGATTGGTGGCTGCTGCGGAAACAACAAATATATGAGACACCCTTCTAGTATATTCRCAAAAGAATGACAACTTTTTCTCTATATATAATACTCCTTAGACTATTGATTTCAATGCTGCATAGGAAGACTGGTCATGTGGCTGCCTCAGGTTCACCTAATATTGTTCTGAGATGCTTACTGAGTCTTGTCTTATGCCAAAAACTTTGTTAGAATCAAAAACCATGCCATTTTTGTCCATCATTTTCCACAACCCACGCAAAAATTTGCAACAAAAGCAAAAAATAACAACAAAAACAAGCAAAAAAACACAAACCAACAAAAGCAAAAACTAACAAATAAAACAACAAACAAAAAAAAAACAAAGCAAAGCAAAGCAAAGCAAAATAAACAAAATAACAACAACAAACAAAACAAAACCAGAAATAATGCTTGGTGACAAGATCATGGTGCACATGCATGTAAGTTGTGTGCATATGTCAAATGTGCAACAAGGGGGGGGGGGGGGGGGGGGGGGAGACATTGTGCGTATCTTTTCATGTATCTTGTATGCAATACATGTACTCACACTTAGGAAAAATCCTGCAATGTCTTTGAGTTTTTAAACTAAATAATTAAAATAAAAAATAAAAAAAATAAAAATAAAATAATAATAATAAATAATAATAAATAATAAAAATAAAGAAGATTTTTTTTTTGCTTTGTAAGATTATTTGTTGTTGCTGTAAGCAGACACTTCGACATTATTATTGAGTTATTATTTTTATTTTTATTATTTTTATTTTGATGACATACAGATTACATAGTACATTTTCTTGTTCTTGCTTTTCTTGTTCAAGTGATTGATATCTTAGAAATCTCAGTGTATTTAAATATCTATTGCTTTCTGGCAAAAATCTCAAAACGTTTGGTATATCAGCAAATCAAATAAATTTTACATTGTGGGCTTGTCCAAAAAAAACAACAAACTGTTCTCCTACAATTCTATAAAAAGAGGCATGTGACGAATTCTATGAAAAAAGGCGTGTGACGTCAAAGCAGCTTCATCTGGAGCAACGTCTTGGGAACAAAAATCCATTGTTTTGTCCTCCACTTGGAACTGCATTCCCATGAACCGTAAGGGGTCTATAAAACTGACCAAGGCAACCTTTTTGATAAGGTGACTCTTTATACTCTTTATAAGGTGCTATTTTCTTCATAATTATAGAGTGAATCACAGAAACTTGGTCTTGTTACTGTGGAATGAGCTGGGCCCGACAGCGTCGACATAGGGGAGTCAGTCGATTCTCCAGGCCCCTTTGGACTTAGCAGAGATTCATTTTGGTATGTGGGATTCTCGTATTCCTTATTGTCGGATTYTTTATCGTCAGTCGCTTCATCCTTGGAAGGTCTACCATTCTTAAGAATATKCTGTTGCGCAGATTCAAGATTTTCTGTTTTAACAGTTTCCACGAGTTTACCACTTGACGTTACACTATCCACGAACCAATCATCATCACTAACGTCTGCSGTTGGTGATTCATAGATGTCATCCACGAGTTCTTCTTTGTTGCCTTGTGAACATATTAACGAGTCTTCCAAGTGAGGCAGTGTCTCTGCCGTAATGTTAGTTGCGTTATTGGATAAGCTCTCGTACAAGTGTTGATTATTGCTGTCGAAACTACTAGATCGAGAACTTTTTTTCATGTCGAAGTCGACATCTTCTAGTGACACCACGTCGGTTTCATGATTATGAGCMTTTCTAACAGCGTCCCTATTGCCATTTTTGATGAGAAATTGCTCCATCATAGGAATCAAGTTCGCCAAGTCGTCTTCATCTTGGTCGCCCTCCTGTCGTCGAAGCACCTCTTGCAAGACGATCAGCTTTTTTCTCGTCATGTTTTCTGGCTTTAACCAGTTTGTTTGACGCTGTTCTTCCACAATAGTGTTGGTCAAAGCGTATTCGATGTTCTCAGACAGTGACTCAATGGCATCTATATCACGTTGAAGTTGTGTCTTTWTCTTTTTGTACACTGGTTTTACGGCGGGGCCAACGTGCGCACCTGCTGCCAACTTAATTTGGTGCACTACAAAATCCATAATCTCGTAGTCGTTCGACTGCAGCGCCACATCGCTCGACACGTTTGCCAATGTGTCGTTAATAATGCTAAGAAATACGTTGACAAGAATCATGAAGACGARCAACATGAAAGAGAAGAAGAATATMGGTCCCAATATGCGGTTCACGTTGGCTAGAGTTTCAAAGTCGAACCCTCCAAGCGTCATAGTCATTATGGTCGAAAGACATGTGGAAAAGGAACTGTAGTCCTCCTCCGTTGGTCCAAAAACGAGAAAAGCAAACTGGACGTACGCTAAGAGCACGATCAGGWACAATACGGAGAACGACATCAACGGCGCCGCACACTCCTTGACAGTCCTTGTTAGCAAAGACATGCGACGGTTGAACCTCAGAAGGCGGAATGACTTCAAAATGTTAAAGAAAACAACAAACCCAAGAGTAGCAATTTGGTACTCGTCTAGTAGTAGCACGTACGTAAAGCTAACGAAGCCCCCAGGGTTCTTTCTCATCCTGCTCACGGCGTACTTGCCGAACGCCAGGCGAGCGAAGAATAGTCCGATAGTCACAAAAGACAAAACGATTATCAATATTTCCACGAAGTTCCACGGGTCTTGGAAGTATTTACCTTTACGGCGGAAAAGCTCTTTAAACTCGCTGTACGTGAACACGAATAGGAAGATGATGTATACCAATTCAAAAGCCATCAAGGTGTAGGTCTCTGGTCCCGTATATCGGTATAAACGAATTGGTCGAAACTGAACGTAATGGTGGTAACCCCCTGTCGGAATGATCTCCGATAACATTGTTATGACACAGAAGAAGTTAYTATACGCGTTATACAGTGCGAATTCAGTGAAGACTACCCTGGTATGGCGGTCTATCCAGGTTTCCAACTCAAGGTTCTGCATTTCGTCGATGGTCTGGAGTCTTGATAGTTCGAGGTTGGCCACGTAACCTTGAGGAATAAATAATGATGTTTCATCATCGGTTATAATGAAGGACGTTACATCATAATCTTAATCATAATTGTAGTCACAGTCATAGTCTGTCACAGTCGCATAGTCATAGCTACCCGGTAGTGGTTAAACTACTACCAGGCCTACTACGGGACTATCATCATTGGGAGAATTTATCGATAACACGTCAAAAACACTCACCGCCTCCCCAGTAAGTGGCAAAGATTCCCCAAAAGGGAGTCCCCTGGAGATCCCAAGCACTTCTCCAGACCCAAGCAGATTTGTCATCTTTAGCAAGTATTTCTTGTGTACTTTTGTTAACGGATTTCCATCCAGGAAGATAGGATGTGTCATCTTCATTTTCCCATGTATAGGGGGATGTGCACGAGTGGAAGTACCTTTTTAAGGTAGGAAGAATGTCGCATTCACCTGAAAGAAAAGGGTGTGTTAACACGTGGAATTTGTAAGCAGAGATTGCTTTAGTACACGTTTTTTAAGGATCTTAGTTTAGGGTGGTTAGAAAGTAGATGTTGATTTGAGAAAAGGTCACGATTACAGTTCAGCCCGGGCAGGGCACACTCATATACGAAATCAGCTCCTGTCAAGAATCTAATCAAATTTTGCTTGTACCTCGACGCACTCGTAACTGCCTGAGACGAGCAGATCCTATGATGTACGCTGTTCCACGATCTGCTATGACGTTTTGGGGGAACTTGTGAAGCGTTGCATTTTCAACTGATTCGATTGTATTGGAATCGGACGTTCCGGTGACCCGTTTATGAACTTTGAACCTCCAACCTCTTCTTGCCTTGTGTTTAATGCGTTCCGCAGACCAAAGTACTTCTTCTTGGTTGTCTTTGTAAGGTCCATACCAGTAGTTTGGCTTGAGGGCTGGAATCATAGTAGAATGAAGCCATTTCCAGAACTTTACAGGCTCGACAACCTAGCCATATAAGACAACAGGCATGCTAGATGCAATTTCTGTGTAATCTGACTATGAATAACCTTCYCGGTTCCCTGCGCCATCTCGAAAGGTAACCGTGCTTTTGTATCGAAGCGAGACAGCTATTGAGCGTACAGTGATAGAAACCTGTGAATAATTGTCTGTAGGTGTGGAGGAAGGTTTCTATCATTGCACATTGGACGGTCGTCTCGGTTAGATGCGAAKGCACGGCTATACCTTTCAAGATAGTGGACAGAAAAAGTGAAGGGGAATATTCAGAGGTATCTATGTAAGCTTTACAGCCGTCTGTTTCGATGCAGAAGCATAGTTACCTTTAGATGGCCCAGGGAAGTGAGAACACCATCAGAAGGTGGCAGAACGACTGGAATTACACAACAATGAAGATGCCGCTCGTTTGCCGAGCTGCTATTGTTGACGAATGTTTTCTCTGGGTAAGAAATTACTTTAAATTTATAAAGTCTACTTACAGAGTCGAACGGATCCGCACCAGCATACGAACTTTCCGCGAAAACCGCTTTCGTTGCTTGCGATATCTGGAAAGACTGAGGATCAACACCACCGTACGCTACAACACACAAAACCATCAAATACAGAAAATAGACAACGATTTCTTTTATGATGGCCTTCATCTCTTTTTGTTTGAGCAAMATCTGCTTCCTTTCATACAGCACGTCTTCAGTTGGTGGTTTGGGCACAAGGAATTGAACTTTTTCGTTTGTGTCAGGCTYCCTGTGGACCCATTCCTCGTCATGACCCAATTCCGCTGACCTCTTAGTGCCTTCCTCCATTTTSTTAGGGTCTTTGATTATGAGGGCTACCAGRACGGCGATAGCCAAGACTTTGATTGGTTGGGAAATAAGGACATCCTGCCAAAATGAAATCATCATGGCGGACAGCCATCCTTCGGCTTTGGGTTTACCGAAAGTTAACGAGTAAAAAACAGTGATAACGGAGGACGTGGCGCACGTTAGAAAAGCCAWCACGTAAGCAATGTAAACTGACCAGTGGGGGAGTGTAAAGGGCTTCTTGGGCTCTTTGGGTGTTTCYTTTTTAACTTTCTTASTGTTTTCGTCGTTATTTTCGCCCTCTTCATCGACATCACTTTTATTTTCAAGTGATATTTCTTCRTACACATGCTCAGTTTCCTCGTCTTCTTCATGTGTTGACTGTGTTCCTGAATTCCTCCTATTTTTGTCCAAGRATTGTTTGRTGTTTTCGTTATTTGGAGGGTCCTTCAAGCGCGCTTTACGAAAGATATTGATAATTATCATATTAATTGGCAATACCACTAAACTGCTTGTGATTGCTATGGAAATCTGCTGCGTCGACAGTCTAAATGGACCAATAACCACCTCAGCGTTCCGGGTATCTYCACCAGTCTGATAGAACATGGCGTTGGCAAGCATTGTGCTTAGAAGTATGCACAAACAACAGGTCAATCGCTGCACTCTTGTGAAAGTGCTTTGAGGTGGGCGATAGTAAACGGAGAACCACAGATGACTGTCGGAAAAGTTTTTTCTRGTTTCCGACTGAAAGAGAAGGTTAAAGGACGTAAGATCACTATTGCACGCTGGGTGGAGAACCCGTTCGATTTTCCCATCATCTTCCTCGACCGCGAACCATCGATTACAAATGTACCACGTCTTTGTATCGGTCTGTAAATCYCGCACATACATTCGGGATAAATACCATGATGGATTTTCTCCGCCGAAGTTGTGCCAGAGTTTGACAGATTCAACTTGCCCCAGGTCGAACGGMGTGGTCAACAAGAAACTATCCACGCAACCACGTTGGAAGAGCCGACTTTTTTTGTCAATGTCTTGGAGTACRCGAGGCTGAGTGTTATTCTTGGAACCTGAGAGGATGATTGATACTTGTGCGGTTGTCCCGCTACCTCTTTGGAACCCGGTGTAGAGACAAATCTCGTAGCCGTATGAGTCTCGTGGATCATTTGAGGGAATCGGGATGACTCCCAACTAGAGTACAAATTTGAAACAAAATATTAATTAGGTTAAAATGTTTAAAGAGTAGCCCTATCCTCAGAAAACATCGGTGGTTAATTAATTAACAAAAAAGGTTTATTTATTAGAATCCATTATAAAGATCACATGGCATTTCATGGGAATAACTGACTRTCATCAATTTATAACTCATGCACTCAATCAACTCTTGTTCTGGTGGATAAGTTAAGTTATTGTTACATCATACTTCTTGGGGCACATAAAGTTTCTAAAGGTACTCATATATATACTCCAATCTCATATATATACTCCAATGCATATGCTCCCAATCCATGCTCACAGATACATTCTCTTATCATCTCTGCAACTTGACTCCTATATACAAGCGTTAAAGTGCAACATTAATCACTGAAAATTTGCAAGCCGAGGTAGGTGCTCCCGTAGTAATCAGGTTCGAGTTACGAGACAGAACATGTTGTAGATTCAAAACTGAATSGCGCCACGATAGTTGGATAGTTCAGAGTGAATAACTCAGAGTGATACGTGATTAAGACTCGATCACAATGTTAAGATAGCTGAAAAAATTCTCTACTCACTTTCCCATCTTGAAATTATCATTATAATTAAAAACCTAGTGTATCCATGTAGGGAATGTACTCTGCTACTGGTAAAACCTTGCTCGATACAGAATATATGTTATCCATCATTTCGGGCCGGATTTATACAAAAATARTTTCATATTGCAGATAAGATTTATTTGGTTACCGATGATGCACTTCATTGGTGAAAGCCAACCTGTACAATGTTGTTTTTAAGTTTGCTTGTTTATTTAAAGGTTTACTTATTACCTTAGTCAGATCTTTGATGTCTTGTCGTCTTGCGGGAATCAGAAGAAGTAAATAGAGTCCAATGGTGCCTAGCAGAACACCCGYGACCAAGAAGTTATTAAATAGTTCTTCGAGGGTGATTTTATCCCAATCGATTCTATTTGGTGGGACAACAAAATCGCTTCCGAACCCTGTGGCGTGATTACAAAGGCATTGCGTGTGAGTCAAGTTCGACCGTCGACCAGCCTATGGTATCAAGGTAAATTCAAGTTAGATCAAGGACTTTTTTTGGAAAGTTTAATGTAGAGTCAAGCACATTCGTCAATGTATGTTTGTTTTATTTTCTTTTGCATTCTTTTGATGGATGCCTTTTATTTTGTAACGTTGAAAAGATGAGTGCAGGCATTGTCAACCGGAAACCGTACTAACCCGGTAATATTGTTTCGTTTTTAACCAAATTGCAGTTGTTATAACAAAATGAGTACCAAAAATRGTATTATATATCTTTAGTCCATTACATGTACCGAAGTCAATACAAATAATACTAACAAAAACAAAAGATAGTAGATTTGCATTGAATTTRGCACGTATGAGATTCAACGTTTTACTAAGGCCTAACAAAACATACCTGGCAACCAAATCCTACCCAGYGCTTMTCCTTCTCRTCCCAAAAGATGCACTYCGATGTATACACACACATGGAATAGTTCACCACCTTGTTCATGTTTTCCTGGGATATTTCCTTGCCATTCAAAGTCCTATTGTACTTTACAGCAACATAATACACACCAGCCATTGTATTATTGGTTTTATTGCTAGCAAAGAACTTCGTATGAACTGTTTGGTTATCTTCGTCAATAGTCGGAAGGTCATAATAATCGTCTTCGTTCTCGTTAGGTCTTCGGCCTTTCCGAAGAGATACCGAAAATTCTGCTTGTTGAGAGTTGTCAACGACTTCTCGTACGTCAACGTTGACTGAGCTTTCGTTCCTGGTCACCTCGAATATATGGTACTCTGTATCATGATATGAGATTTTKCCTYGAAAGCAATTTGATAGGGRTCCTTTTTTCCKAATCCAGATCTCAASAGGAGTTGTCAGGTTWTGTAGTTTTATAGGGCCTGTTTTGTTTGATAGCTGAAAGTCRCATACCATGCTATGGACATGCCTAGATGAATTATCGCCAGTGAAAGGGTTATCCTTAAAAACTCTTGCCTTAAAAAAGTAAACAAATGTAAGATTAACAGTCAGGAGAAAATATAATGACAAAAATATCGTCCACGTACAAGCAGACAAAATTGGATAAGAATAATAATCAACTGTTTTATGTTCTTACTTCTGTGGTGACGGTCAAGGACGTGTCGTTAATGTCACCAAACACTTCATCAAGCACGCCTTTCAAGTTCACCATCCCACTACCGGTATGAAGGGACAGATTATAGAGCACGTCCAATGTGTTTTTAGCAAATGTGCTATTAAGCTCAGGAGAGAACACCTTTGTTGGGAATTCGTTGAGCACAATACAGCAATCTTTGAGAGCACTGATTGTGTCTTGGATCAGATCYATGAGCAAATCGGAATAATTTGCGGCCTGAAAGCATAAGTTAATGCAAAAGCGATGTTAGCAAARAAAAAATCCAACTCGAAATGAATTCAGCTCCTTTGGTTGGCRTACACGCACACCAATTAAATTATCTACTGAACTACTCTAGGAACTATATAGTACTTTTACTATTACATTATTTTAAGTCGTCAGAATAGTGTAAACAAACTGAAATTGAATTGCATTGAAAAATTGAATTGAGTAACTTCATCATCATCAACAACAACAACATTCATAGAAGCAGACATGTTATTAGATATTAGTAGGCAATATAWGCAATGGCATGAGAAGAAAAGCCACCAGCAAGATGAGAAATAGCAATGAGAAACAATAGAGAGKTGGTTGTGGATCAAGCCCCTTCGGTCCTGACCGGGGAGAATTTTTTTTAGATCTAAAATCATGTGAATAAACTTAATGAGAACACATTTAAACATAAATGATACAATTTTGAGTGAAAAGCAACATCAACATTAGATGGTCTTGATCTTGTACACCAGAAATGTTTATCATTCAGCACCTTTCGATCATCAAACCAATCATTAAGGTAGCCAGAAGACACGATGTTTAATCTGCTAATAATACTGGATTATGTTGATTGCTTCTCGTATAGCCCGAGCCTTAAAGGCCAAGATTGCATCATTATGCTTTGCGCGTCTCTTTGATTGTTAAGGTTTTAGATAAAACACATTTCTAGTGTCCAAATATCAYCATAAAAGGAATGTTCGATGCCGGTCTAATATTAGCGTTGAAAGTGCTTAGAAAAGTGAGATTTTYAAGATATGAGCGGATTCGAAACGCAMAGTACAGTTCAGTATAGACTCTCGGTAACTGAAAATGGYCGCTGCCAGGCCCTTCCTCAAGATCACYCCATCTTGTACGTACCAGTTGGACATTTTGTYTCTTCTCTWGAGTATCCCCTTGTATTGATTTTTCCCATATGTCACTGAACCCGCGAAGAACGGCCGCCGAAGCTTGAGAGAACGACGACATTCCACTTCTGACATCATCAAAATTCAAACTTGGCATTTTCACAATGAAAAAATCCGAGATTTTTTTGAGCGCTCCTGTAAGGTGTACCTGCAACATAAGGGTTGCGTTACAAAGGCTCGGTAATGCTACAGGTTACGTTACTCAAAACTACGCGGAAAAATACTACAATTGTTTTCCAGGTGCCAGGGACAACAATAATCACAGATGAAAATGACATTCCATCAGTCAATTGACAGTCATTGACAAGCAACTTGTTGTGCTTGTTGGTCGCCATCCTGATTACAATATTTTTTTGGCCAGTTAGCGCGCGTGATTTTCGTGACGAATTTTGTTGTTGCATTAATCGCCGGTGTTTTCAAATACGATGCTGCAGGGAGAAGTGGAGGTTTTTGTTGTACTTACCAGCATGGGGATACAATGGTCTTCAGGGCTCCCCGCCAGTTCAGAGATTGTTACTGATGTCATTTGAATTGTGGTGATAGATTCCAACTGAACATTGAACACCGACAGGGCAATTCTTTCACGGATCTKATGTAGAAAGTTAGATATTTTATTGATAATTCTCTCATTATTGATACAAAGTTGATAACGTTATTCTACACCCTTCTCACAAAAAAAAGTAAATGTCACTTACTTCACAATATTTTTTCGATTGGTTAGTTAAATCTTCTATCTGTGCTTTCAAAACCGGGACTTCGGCTGTCTTTTKATGATCGGTTCCCGGAGGATCTTTCGTTGGAAGTTCATCCAAAAATGTTTCAAGTTCTTGAAGTAATCGGGTCAAATTTTTCATGTCATTTATTTGTCCTTTTGACACGTTGTTCAATATTTTAGCTTTGTGATGACACCATTGATTAAGTGCCTATTAAACAAATGATCATCAGCTCTTAGAATGACATTAATAGAATAATGATATCAATTGGGCGATGGGTCAATGACGGAATACCCTCATTCTCAACCATTTTACAAAGTATTTCTTATTATTATTTCTTATTATTTCTTATTTTTTATTATATTTCCACCATACCTGAGAGTTATCGTTCATGTCCAGGTCTACCAATCGTCCATTTTTGTCAAGAATATCTTTACGCAGCGTTGCATACAAGGATTCATCTGGAGGAGTTTGTTTTGGTTTAACCTTTAAGAARAATGAGAATTTTCCAAGTGAATATGCATCGTATATACTCAGTTCKGGGGTCAGTGTAGTTAAACACCGAAGTGTTTCTTGATACTAATACAGTAAACAAGATGGAAAGTAAAGTTGACTGGTGCAGTTTATCAATCTCACAAAGACCATCTTAGATACAGTTGCAAATGATCACCTTTGCCTGTAAGATATTGTGGGATGTGTGAAGYATTCATTGAAAATTGTACAGACTGTAAAGTTGTGGGAACGTATTTTTTTATTATTTTCCGTACGGAGAACATCTGATTACTAAATTTTGATGCAAATAATGATTTAAAGACTTTCCATAGAGAAAGTTTTCAGTGACTGATTCCGAGAGCATTCTTTCGCTCCACCACTTCTCCGTATTTTTGATTTCAGTATTCTGAAATGATTYAGTGATTATTTTCTTAGCACTTAGAGTACAGAAACAATAACACTGGATAGACGTCATTTATAAAGAAGACCGAAACTAGTTTTTTTTTTTTTTTAGTTTTATTTTTTAACACTTGTGGCCCACGAGGTCAACACCAAGCACATCTCATCACGTTCAAGCTGGATTGTTTGATGACGAAGTTAGTACTGAAGCTGGAAATGCCCAAATTGAAAGCTTCTTTAACAGACTCTACAGGCCAACAAGCCAGAGTGGCAACAAAAATGTAATGAAAAATGCTTCAGTGAATTTATGTTCCCAGGGTTGTACAAGAAAGGTTTGCTTGCAATGACATCAAGACAGGGACAACATTCATCCTGAAATTTGATAACAAGATCTTCACTGAATTTTATATTTTCAAACTTCAACTTACCTTCACTTTAAATGTCTGTTCTGTAATTGCTTCAACACTATCTACCACCTGAACTATGACATCYACATTATAATCAAAGGCCTCATCACCCTCAGGTAAAGTTATATTGTCCGTGGCGAGTTGTTCAGTATGAACGAATAGCCATGGCAGATCATAAGGACGAGTTTTATAGTAGAAATAAAAGTGCAAGTCGCCTCCTGAACTATTCCAACCCTCGCATTTAAACTTGAATGGCGTCGTGGAAAATCCTTCTTGGGGAAGCGCCGCACATCTGCCTCCTTTAGGGGAGCAGTGTGTKGTGATGTCGATGTACGTGAATCCAGGTGGACCATCGCCAAAGCGAGCCACAAGTTTGGCCATGTAAGAGCTGCAATCATCGAGAGAGTCCTTGCGAAGAACAAGAAAATTTCTATCACCTTGAATATGCAAGAAGTCCTTTAAATCCTTGATTTCTAAGTCGCTGATGTTGACCTTTTTGAAGAGATCCCATTTTAGAACTATGTCTGCCTCAGTGCCTTCCCAAACGTTACAGTTGGCTCTTATTGTCACCTTTGATGAACTGATAACTTGACGGTTGAATGTGAGACTATCAATACTGTGAAGAAACGGGATGAAATAATTATATATGCTCTCATATGCGGCTCATCCGGTTTCCACTTGACATCTCAATGGCTATGAAAAGTGATGCTTCATTAGTCGACATCGTCAAACAACATAGGCCGCAGTTCTTTATCTTTTAAATCTTAAAAACCTTTGCCTACATATGTGAGCATATTGTTTCATGGATATGATAAAAGCAATCTTAGGCAATTGCAAAATTTAAATGTTTTTACCTTAGTTGACAACGAGGGGGGTCAATATCTGCCATCTTCAAGAAAACATCAAAGAATCCAAGTCTTGAGCCTTTCATGCAGTAAAGTCTGAATTCCAGCGAATCATTTACTTTAAATGTGCCATTCAGATAGGTTTTGATACTCATACCCTTGCTGATAAACCCGGCCTCATTTCTTAAGCACCCACCTCCACCCTTTGCTTGCTCTATGGTGTCAAGGAGAGGCATTTTTGGAAAAGTGTAGTTGGCTCCGTTCTTCCTGCAGTAGAAGTAATGCTCAATCCAATTGGTGTTGTTGTCCTCGTTTTCGTCAGGATCGTACGAGAGATGTCCAGCAAGCTGCATATCACGGTATACTGACTGTAACCAGCCGCTGCCCCCATAGACAAAACACTGAAGGGGCGAAGGGACGATTTCTACATAACAAGCGGCTGTCCTGTAGACAAGGTCTAATGCCACTATGCTGACATTCAGCTGAAATTTGTATTTCCCAAGTGGTAATGTCCGAGGTGGCAGCTCCAGGACTGATCTGTTGGTGGTACTCCCTTCTGAATTGATTTTGTAAGGGGTTTGGGAATGCCCTGTGTCATTAACGCTGTAGACCGTCCACAAAAAATCTGTTCTCCTTGAAGCATAGCAATAGACATCAACTTTGGAGTGAATTTTAATGTTTGAAGATCGGAAAAATAGTTTTCTCTTCTCATAGGTCTTGCCAACGTTTCTGAGATCAATCACGGGGAAGGCACATGGCAGAGGAAGTATAATGGCTACGTGTTGTTTCTCAACGTACGAGACTGTGTTATGACAAGCTGCTTTAACATAGTAATACTTCTTTTGCCAAAATTTGAACGAGAATGAAAGAGAAACATCAAGTTTGTCTTTCACGACGTTTTGAACTTTGGACAGTTTTTTCCAGTCATCCCGACAGGTTGTCGCTTCGTTATCCTTGTAAATGAAATATGTTTTGTTGGTCAAATCGACCAAGCAGCAAGCTTCATTTCCAATTTGTGACAATTTCAAAGTAAAAGTAGTTTTCAGTGGAAAAGACGTGGGCCCATCGTTGTCAAAAAAAAGTCCAATGTTACTGTCCATCAAAACAATTTCTATTGAAGCTTGCATTTCACTAACTGAGTTGTTAGCAATCACCGTGATATTATAATTCCCTCTCTTCTCGAACAAATGTGTGGAGTAGGTATCCTGAGTATGATAACTCGAATTGTCCCCGTAATTGAAGAAAAACGTCATGTTTGAACCGTCTGTCGTACGCACATTAAATCGAACCGGAATCTCGCGTGGAAACGCGTTTTTGTCTTTACCAAGACCGGGTGTCCCGAACGCAGTGTCTCCTGCGCCAGTATTCACTGCAAACAGCTCAAGGCCTTTGATTTCTCTTTGGACGTCGATTGTTGTATTGATTTGTTGCCAACTTATCTTGTTACTGATATTGATATTCACTTGGTACAACCCAGGTTTCACGATGCTTTTCGAAAAATTTTTTACTTTCTCTGTCCCGAAGGGTTTATCACTATCAACACCGATCGACCCATAGGTAACGTCAATGAACGCATCCGTCGGCGCTCGTATATTTTGTGGTACCTTTAAAGTAAAAGTAGTTGTACCAGTAGGTATGATCTGTGGACTGTTCGTCTTAAGTTCAAGCTTCTTTACTGGATATTGTACATATATATTGGTCAAACTAACAAAACTCTCCAAAGGGTTACTAAAGTTAGTGCTGACCTTGAAGAGACCGGAATCTTGGAACGAATAGTTCACGATGTCACCACCAAGCCGTAAAGTATCGCCGTTGAAAAAATGTGATTGGTTCATGCCATCTTGAAAATCCCAATAAACCGTTACATTAGAACCGGAATCCACAGTAGCCTTTAAGTTTACCACATGATTCACCTCAATGTACTCATGGCTGCTTTGGACGGCGAATTTGGAAATTGGACTATGTACCTTTACAATCTCTGACCTTACAACTGTTGATGTCACTTTGTTTTCGGCGAAAAGTTTAACTTTATAAGTGCCAATTTGGGGAAAATACGAAGACTTAATGGTGGTACTCCCAGTAGTGATTGTCGAGGTTGAAGATATCGAAGTAATGGTAATGTTCTTAGTTTGCAAGGTAGTAACATTGTTCCATGTCATCCTAAAATGAATGCTCGTCCCTTGCCCTGCCCGGAAAGAAATTGGGCAACCGATATTGATGTCTTGATGGGAAGGGGCGGTGAGGGTCAGGTTTTCTATTGGCAGATAAACGCAGGCTATTGTACTGTTGGTGRCTGTGTACAAACGGTTWGCACAAAATACAATAACAGTGTAACATTTCACAATGGAATACTCATAGTATACATAGCTTCCCAATGTAGAAAAACTACTGCCATTATACCTAATATACGAGTTACCAAAGTTCCAAGTACAGTTAAAGTCATTCCCTGATGAAATGTTCATCATGAATGCAGTTGGGGTCGAAAGGTTGGCGTCCCTCGCGGTCAGTGATGTGATTATTATGGGATAAACAGGCTTGTGGACTGTCACATCCATAGAGCAATTTTCTGAGCTCACATTGTTATAAACGGTGATGTTGGTATTGAATACTGTCCAATACGAATATGATTTCAAGACTTTAGAATATCGATAGTACGGCTGAACACCACTATAAACAAGCGTTGTATATTCTCTTGTTTCGTTGAAATTTCCGTCACCATATTCCAATCGTGTTACCACGTTAGTTGGTTTATTCGTTAGGTAAGATTGAAACTCAACGGTCTCATTCACCTCAATCCAAGGGTTGTTATCAAAAGACTTCACCTTACAAACTACCGGTGACTTCACAGGAACCTCGACTACGACCATCGTTATATTTACCACTTCACTTACAGGATTTCCACACGATATATTGACCCAATACTCGCCAAAGGTCTGATATGTTTTAGCTACCCAGTATGACTTAGAAACATTGATGGTCCCAGTTTCAACCCTGGTGGCATGCCCATCGCCGTATGACACATTACAATGTGTTTCAGTCCCGTTGTACACAGTCCAAGATATATTCATGATCGTGTTCACGGCAGTAGGTGTAACRGAGTCAATGATCACAGCTTGCACCGCATTTAGGACTGCCACGGTACAAAGGCGGCTAAAAGAGCCTAGAATGTTGTACGCAGCCATCGTAATGGTATAGTTACTCACGGAGTCAAAAGTATGTTGAAATGTAATATTTCGATCGACTCTTTCGTATGTATGCGTAAAGTTAGTAGGAGGTTCTATAGTGTTATTGATAGCATTGTTATCGAACTCTAGGATGTGCGTAACGTTGTATCCATAGTGTTTGTACACTGTTATATTAAGTGGCATTCCAACTTCAACATACGGAAGTAATCCCCACTTGACGTTACGGATTCGCTCAATGCAAACGTACTCGGCGGATTGAGTTTCGTAATTATGACCAGTTGAGAAATTAAATGTGTCAAAGTAGTGCCCAACACTGCAGTTTAGACTGAGTGAGAATTCCGCTGAAACGACGTAAGTCGCGCGTACGAGTGGCGAAAAATCTAAAGCGGTGCTGTTGTAGTTGGCGGTCACGTAAAAACCCCCAACGGTCACATTCACTCCCGTTTTGTAAGGTATCCGTTTGTGTGATCTCGCCATGTTCAACTCTGCGCCTGTGACTGGTGGAAGAGTAACCCCTATAATATCCTTATCGCGAACTTTAAAGCCAGAACCTGGAGTTACGTTTTGCGCGAGAAAAAGATGAACTCCAGCGGTTAAATAAACCAGCTGCTCAAATACAAGTTCGAAGTTTGCTGTCAAAGGTCCTCCAACTTGTCCTACAGTGTTTTTAACAAAGACTAAGCTAGATATTGTACATCTTGATGTCGTCAAAGAGAAGAATTTAGGAGCAGAGCATGAAGTTTGTTTGTCCGAAGACGATCCTGTACATTTTGGTATAGATGAACTGCAATGTCCACTAATATAGCAATACTGTTTTTCCTTACGCCTTCTGCATACAGGACGATAGATCTAAATCACAAAATCAAGAGTCCAAAGAATTGCTTAATAAAAACCTCTTAAATCGACGCAACTTAAGGAAAAGTTATGGAAAAATGGTAGGAGGACATTGGCAGATTGAGGCGTCTTAATGCCTCTAATACTTGAGACGTTGCACTTTTGCTGCGTCTGATCTAATTGGTTGTATGTAGCTCACGAGAAGTTTAAATCAATACACCTTTTCAGTTGCACTTAGGCCTCGATAGCAAGTTAATTATTCTTTTGAATTTKAYAAATGAGACTATTCATATCAATGTTTGCATTGCTCACATTCCTAAAAAATTCAAAAGAATATTAAACACGCTGTCGAGGCCTAAGAGCAACTGAAAAGGTGTATTGATATTCACGGATTATATTGAGTTCTCCCAATTTACCAAAATCTACCAATTCCAATAAATTCAGAGCACGAATTGCTCTTAACCTATAATCCCGTAATTAGATTAGACGTGACAAAGGATCGACGTCTGAACCAGGCCTAAGAAACCAAAAAGAAAGACAAGATGCCTCCCTTTTCTCGATCGTGCGTGACATTTCAGAGTGATTCCGTCAAGAGTGGCGTTCTTGCGCGCTTCCGCTGGCCTCAGGACCCGCTCGTACTGGCATTTGATATACGCATTAGAATAAAACTTACACTTAAACAATAGGGTTGTGATTTTGTTGATCGAAGCTTAAACTACGCGACTGCCTGAGGCGTTAGGTATGGTCTTCAAAACAAAAAACACAAAAAAAAMCCCAAAAAACAAAACAAAAACAAAACAACAACAACAACAACAACAAACATATACGAACCTGCAGTTTCACATAGCCTTTGCTTGCAACTTCAGCGCTAAAGGCTTTTAAAACACCCGTTTTAAATTGGTTGTCAACCAGCAGGTACACTCGGTCGACAGCTGTGGGTCCGCTTGTCGTTATTCGTTGTCTCACTYTTGCACGTGATGTGCGGTACAAGTTAGAATCTGGAAGGATAATGGACAGATGATGATGATGAGCGCAATGATGATGATGAGCACGTGATGATAATGATGACGTTGGGACAAAGATAAATGGGGATCACGTGATTGTTATGGCCACGTGAGAATTGCGATGATCACGTGATCACGTGATGACGACGATGACATAATGTTGTTAAAGATTGGAGTATTACGTAAAAATCGATTATATAATATAGATTACGTTACGATAAATGATGAAAGTGATCGCGCCATGATAATCACGTGATAATGATTATGCTAAAACGTGTTAATGACTGCGGTCACGTGATGATATGATGTGCGAGTGGACCAATGCTAACTCGACTTACTAGGTGGATAATACTCGGACGTGCCTTCCGATGCGTTCCTTTTTGTGAGAGTCATGACAACGTCTTTGCCTTCGATAATGGTCGCATTAACTAAATATGACAGATTGGACTCGACTATTTTATTGTAAGTTATATTAGTACCCATCACCGACCAGCCAACATCAAGTTTCTTTGTTGTTTTGATTTGTCTCGGTACACCATATCTACCAATCCATGTGCTTGACAAAACCTGTGTGGTCAAGTCTCGTCAGTGTGCAGCGACGCCATTTTGTGAAGCAGAGCATGACGGTAGTTATAGTACTCGTACTTATTAGAGACCCTAGAATATCTCCCTAAGAGCCGTTTTTACATTTTCTTAGAAGAAACGATAAAAATACTTCTATTTTTGCTTAGACTGTTGTATCGGAAATAAAAAAGTACGAGGACTACAACTACCATCATGCTTTGCTGCACAAAATGGCGTCGCTGCAAATTGCCTATAAGGACTTGAACTTAAAACGTTAAAGATAATGCGAGATTTATTTTTTKGGGGGAATGACAACTCACCCTTCTTGAATCAGCGGTCAGTACGAAGTACTCCAGCTCTGAATTATTTGTAGTCAAAAATATACCGTCCCAGAAATTCGAGATAAAAAAGTGGTGGCTATCAGAAGTGACTTTGAATTTCTCCATCGCCATTGCAGTGCTTGGAATTGTTATGGATAGTTTGTTGTTCAATGGTTCCCGGACGTCATAAATGCTGACATGTGATTGGCTGCCGCACATAAACGCGGGGTTTCCTCTGCAAGGCTCGTTACATTTGTACTTTGAGACCTTACCGGTGCTCGGCAATGTATTAATACAATAGCATCGGCTTTCAACTGTCAGGCCAGCGTATTTATAGGAACCTATGCCACATGGAGTCACACACATGCCAGGATGCATTGCGCTAGGATTAATGTTGTTACTTGGCTGTCTCAAATTTAGCGACGTGCTAGTGTAGCAACCTTTGCTAAGGAATGCTGTGGGAAAGTGTATGGCGCACTCATTAGTAGGAATGTGACTTTGTCATAATGTATTTCTTAGGTACTTTCAACAAGAAATATTTTTTTTGTAGAATACCAATACACGACTTTCAAAATGGCACCGATATTTCACAGTCACTGATCGCAGAACTAGGGACGAAACATATCTCGAAGACCAGTCTAAGTCAGTTGAACAAAAAAGGCATTTTGGTCGAGTGTTTCGATAGGAAATGTCAAACTATAAGTGTTTTTATAAGTTTTAGGCCTTGCCTTCCTTGTTTTTCAKGTTTCATMATWAGCCTCTCGATCGGCAGCCGTGACCTGCCTCCGTTTTCTTTCACCATTGTCTTTTTGAATGTTTTACATTGTAAAAATCTCATTCTACCTTTCGTGAGGTAATAGACGTCAGAAGCTTTTACGTCATGTATCGTATACGCAATGCATTGTAGGATATGTTTGGGACAAAACATAGCGGATTTCTTTTGTTTTCTCTAAAAACTGATCCCACAATGCATTGAAAATCAAGTAGTGACGTAAAAGGTTCAGGTGTCCATTCAAACTCAACAGAATGAATGAACTGCATACTCACGGTCTATGGCGAAGAACACGCCAACGCGCATGGCAATAGAAATATGCCAGCTGACTGGGAAARTGCGAATCACGCGGGCCTCGATGAGTGGGCTGAATCTATGAGAAACGATGCTGGAACTGTCTGAATTGCCGCGAAAGTTCTGTTAAATAAAGACAATGCAGGTTAAAACACTCAGAACATAAGCAAAACTGATTGGGTTACATCAGTATGTTTTTGGGGGAGGGGGAGGGGGGCATAGATAATAGGCCAGTCTGTACTTACATATACTGAGCCATTTATCTGATATTTTTCCCATTGTATCCCATCCAAGCTATGAGAAAGCGTGAAGACAGTTACCCAAGTAGTGCCTCCACCTTGAGTCAACARTCGAGTTATGCTTCGCCCCAAGACAAAGTCTAACTGGAGGTATTCTCGTCCAGTTGCTGTGAATGGCTGCCAACCCGCTGTCGAGAATGATTTCAACGGTAAAATTATCATTTATTCATAGTATGATTGTTTGAGTTCTTTAAAAGTAATATTAAATGCGACTGTGGGACGTGAAGTGTAAGGGCCACATTTCCATTCATGTTTCGCCATGTTATGTTATCGATATTGAGGTCTGCATAGCGATATCAAACACACTCTCATTCGACTTTACGGATTGCTGTACTAAAACCGGAAGATTTCTAAGGTTTCTTCGGTCAAGGTCGTAGCTAGTCAGGGGCGGATCCAGGATTTTTTTAGGGGGGTGACTTTTGATTTTTTAAGAGTTAACATATTTAATTTTMCCGCCAAACGAACCAAAGCTCCGCGAATGCATGTATGTTCTTAGATGCCCGAGACGCTAAAAAGTGTTAGTCCTTTTGAAAAGTGTTGTTTATCGAAATATCAACCAATTATTTCGCTATTTCCTTGATATGAATATTTCTATATTCAATTTATCCAGGAAAAAGGGGGGGGGGTGAACGTTCACCCAGTTCACCCCCCCTGTATCCGCCCCTGCTAGTAAGAACAAGTTTGCTAAGTGGTTGGATCTACAACCCATAGAGAAACTACAGAGCGATGCATAATACAACAAAGATTAATCCTTTGCCAGTCAAACACAATGATTTTTTATTAACTACGACATTGGCAAGGTTCTTCTTCTTTTCGTTAGTTAAATTAACTAAAAATATGAACTTATTTSGTTTATTATTTTTCCAATTTTATTTGAAACTGGTCCTACCCAACCGTAATTACCTGAATTCGGGTTACCATCGTTGTAATTAAGTTGAGAGAGTTCGGCGGTGTCTTGTTTATCGTTGTTGGTAGTAATCTGGTCGATGGGGAGATTGAGATGGATGTCGGTATTACTAGATAATAGTACGCCTGAAATAAGTAAATAAATAAGTGGAAAAGTAAATGGATAATTGAGTAAATTAAATAATTAAATAATTGAGTAAACAATACCACCCAAGGCATTATGCAGTACAGTCTTTGCAAAACACAATGGTATTGTACAGGAGTTGGTCATTTTTGTGGATCAATACCAGCCATGAGAATGTATACCACATAGTATTACACAAGGGACTCGACACCCTTGTTAGAATTATTGATGGAGGCCAAGAAACAACTCAAACTTTTTGGAACTTCCTCAAGTTTTAATTCTCGAGATAAAAATTCGGTTATTTATCTGGAATTTTTTGGGGGTATTTAGGGGTGAATACTATTAATCTCTTGATAAAACTTCGAATGTGGGAACTTGACCCCATGACTAACCGGTCATATTTGTTCTGCATTCATGATTCGTAAACATCTTCAAACAAATGGGTTCTAGGAATCTGATGTCTTAATTTGAATATTCTCGGAAGCTATCAAGATTTCTGTCAACAACCTCGACTTCGTGATATGTTGTTTAACAAGTTCAATCGAACATTTTTGATCATCACTTCTGCTAGAATCCACCCAAATGTCGCACAACGACGTGAGGCGGCAAGCAGACGATGCGTCAAATAAGGATGATGAGCTTCAGCTGGAGTTGGAACCCATTCCGATGTGGCTGCGGATCGCAATGGCAATCGTCTGCACATTAAACATGGCTGCCATTGCATACATCGCTGTTCTGATCGGAATACAGAAAGGCTGGAAATATTCAATCCACTGCTTCTTTCTCTGTCTTTTTGCTTTTTTATTCCTAATACAATTAATAAGAGCACAGTCAAAATTCCACGCAAAAGCAGCCAGCTCCTCGAGCTATTTTATGTTCTTTATCACTTTAAGCACAAGCTTCACTTTGCTTATAAGACAGGCCTACTATCATCCGTCGTCTGGTTACTTTGGACCTGAATGGGTATTGTTCTCTCTTCAAGCAGGCATCATCCCTGGACTCGTTGGCATGGTTGTGATGTTTGAATTCAGTCTTCAAGAAATCTATAAAAGCCGGTTTATCATCATGGTCGCGGTTCTCGACTTTGCGGATATTTGGGACATGGCATCTATGCTCTCACCAGTAAGGGCACCTTACATTGAAGAACAAAGCCCCATTGAAATTGCAATCCAGTACTTTTGCAGCACTACATTCCTCTCTCTTTCGGCTTTTCTCAACAAAGTCATCATTGAAGAATATTTGAAAATATTTATGGGTCAAAGCGATGTTTCGCAGGAAGGCCAAAGCGAACTCCACCGCGCAAAGGACAAATGTTGCACAGCATATGTGAAGATGAATTCTCGAATATATCAGGATATACCATTCCTGATCATTCGTATATTTGTCCTGTTGGAATATGGTTTTGTAGATGTCGATTTTTTGTTTAAGAATGCAATTTCTGCCATCATCGTTCTCTTTGATTGCTGTAAAGGTTGCTGCTTTTGCTGTTGCTTATGTTGTGCAATGTCTGCGTCGGGAACAAATACAGCCGATCAGTAGTAAATTTCCTTAATTGTTTTCTAGCCATACACATGTAGAATAGTTTTTATATAAAACGTCAATGCACTAAATTGACATTGTACTTATCTCTTGTATTACGCATATAAATATAATATATATATTATTTTACAATTTAGTAAATAGTACTCTATCCTCGAAACATTTTGTAAGAAATTGTACTAGATTGAGCTAATTAAACGATAGAAGACAAAGGCTTTCCCACTAATTTGTCAAATTTAGTTTGCAAACTATATATTAGATATAATGAGAGCACTTTATTTTCGTTTTGTACTGATTTAGCGCGTTCCCTCTAGCTTTGATTCATAGTTCCATCATCGGTTGGTTAAACAAACATTGTATCTTTCCACTCTAGATTTTATGATAATAATAATTGATAATAAAAAATGAACTTATTTAATATTGACCCGCCTAGCTTTTGCTGAGGTTAATGATTCGATTTCTTCATAATGAAGAAGTCTCAGAGAAATAACATGAAACTATGTTTATAAGAATTAATKGTATAATGCCATCAGTCGAGCGCAACGTTGCTTCAATTTCTGGGAACAGACGGAACTTTGAGAAGTCTAAGTCCATCAAACGATTGTGATATGAATGATCAGACATGAATTTCTGTAGGTGCCTCGCGATTTGGATTCGTGGTTCTATCTGAATTACATTTTGTGCGTAGGAAAGCTYCCCAAAGATAGATAAGGAAAGATGATTCTGGAACTTTGAGATAAAACTCTGCATGATTTACTCAATCGAGCGAAACGTAGCATTTCCATAAAAACATAAACAATTGTGCTATTTTGAGATCAGATATGAATTGCCGTAGGTGCTTCGCGATTAGGATTGCTGGAAGTATCATTTGCTTTCTTAACTTTATTTATTGCGTAACCTTATCGGTGATTGTAGTGGTGGCAAACAATGATGTTGGCGCTGCGTTCGCTATTCTTTCCGGTCTTTGGAATTTTGTTTGTGCGCTGGCGAGTCTTTGTGGAAGCGATAAAGGATGTTTGTTGTCCTGCTCGAGTGTCATGGTTTTGCTGGCTTCCACTTTCACTCTCGTCACACGGTATCACTACTACGAGGTTATGCCGAAATATTCTGGGCTATTGGCTGAAGTATTCTCAGGCTTCATACTTCACAAAGCTGGCCTCGTTTTGTTAGTGTCTGGAATTCCAGTAATGTACGGATGTCTATGCCAATCAATGATGACAGATAAAAAGATGGTTTACAGGGTAATCGTCGACTTTATTGATATCTACGAGATGTCAGAGCTGCTTACCATGGGCGCCAAAAGTTGTACTCTTGCAGGCCCCACACATGCACCATTTCCTTACATTAATCATACCAGGAATGTCTTCAACTGCACCGAATCGACGTTCTCTTTATTGACGAAAGAAAGCAACATGGAAGTGATCATTCAAGTTTTGTGCTCATTTTCCTTCTTGATTTTYTTTCTTATTTATCGCGAAGCGTTGGGAAGAGTCTCGTCAAGGGTACACGATAACGCTGCTTTTAAAAGGTAAATTGTGTTCAYTATGTAACCATTCCAGAAAGGAGGAGGCTACCTCCATGTTCTCCTGTCCAACGGAACCTCCTCTACTCTACTAATAGTTGGACCCCGCTGAGGAGTAAGTGTCGCAAAATAACAAGAATGTAGTAAGAAATCGATGTCAGATAATTCCCTCTAAGTTCAAATTCGGAAAACGTTATCAGCTGCAAACGTTAGATACTGCAAAAAGGAGTTAACTGGCCAAATTTGAATGACATAATTTATCTAAGGAGCGAGTAAACTCATTTTTAGTTCCCTATTCATTTCTYTGTAATTTCCGGGGTCATCAGCGCGTGACGTTCGTGAAAAATGCAAAGAAATGTACTGATAACTAAAAATACATTTACTCGCTCCCTAGATGAAGTACGTCCTTCAAATGTGGACAGTCAACTCCTTTTTGTAGTATCTGACGAATTTCCGAATTTCCGAATTTGAATTCAGTGAGAATTATTTGACATCGATCTCTCACTCTATCCTTGTTATTTTGCGACACTTTGCCTACTCATCCAAGATGGCCGCCAAAACCGTCACCTCTACTAATTAATCAAATCTTTTATCAGATACGTAAATATCACAAGACTCATCCAAGATGGCCGCCAAAACCGTCACCTCTACTAATTAATCAAATCTTTTATCAGATACGTAAATATCACAAGACTCATCCAAGACATCCCGTTCTTCATTATCCGTGCTGTGGTCTTGATTTTGTACAAGCTTGAGAACCAGACCATATTTTTGGTGAAAAACTTTGCGTCGATTGGCCTTGTCTCTCTCGCGCTCGCAGGTTTTAAAGATAGCACTGAAAACAATGGGCAATCATCCAATAGAAGACAGCCAAGTGGACAGACAAATCGTGGATATGGCAACAATCCATAGCACCATCCAGAAACTGACATCCAGAGTCTGAAACTGACATCCATAAGTCCCTTGGATAGATAATACACTGACAAGTCATTCACGATAGCCACCATGAACAACTTTGAAATTATAGTCCAATTACGCCTTGTAGCCGTCTAGAGAACAAGTTGTTGTCTTTTTCTCCTGGGACACAATATTGAATTTCACCACAATCTCAGATTTCAAGTATGTGTGTTTTTTTTTTAAATTTTTATCGACAACAACGCATGACCCATCGCCAGTGCACTTGCATGAGATAAAAACACCTTGCACATAAATTAAAMTAGAAAGCATTATATTCTGAGATTCCCAAAGTATCAACATGATATTTTCTCGCCGTATATCTATCTTCGTTGACTAGCTTGTTTTTACTCAACAAATTTGGAAGGATACTTAAATGTAACCTTTTCACAATGATTAAATGCATAATATTCCATATATATTGTTTCTATACTTTCATCAATAATATCACTTTCTGGGTGTTGGAGTTCTAGAAGTTCGTCATAAAACTCGAGAGTGCATGTTCTATCGGGCATATACAATGGCAACATATGAAATGTGAAATAAAGTATATGTTCTCTTTATGAACTGAGATTGCATAAGCATCCTGCRACATGTATTTGACTGGCACTRCTTATTGCATTTGATTTKTCCTACCTGGTGTGATTCCAGCGGCGATTCCTATTTTCTGTAGATGATACAGTTCTAAGGCCTCGTACCAAATCGCCAAACTGTGGTGAAACAAATACAAAATAAACGAATCAGTTATAAACATAAACAAAAACAGAACAAACCAGAATCGATCTCATATTGTAAGATAGGTGAGTAAAATGTCTTTCATAGCAGGGGCGGGTCCAGCAATTTTTAAAAGGGGGGTCATCGTCATAAATGGCRGAAAATATTCGCGAGCATTTGGGTTGCCTCATCAACTTACTAATCTTCAGTCAAATATGGAAATGATAAATTAAAAAAACAGCGACAATCAAATGTGTTTTGAGGGTTATTTGATTTTGTTTTTTTCTTTTTGGTGCCTCTTTATGCAACATTTAAAAGAAATTCGTTTTTGTTCAGCAAAAGGGGTTGCCGCGTCCTCTTCGGCTCCCTCTAAATCCGCTCACGCCTAGGGATTCAATGTAATTTGCAAGTGTAGAGGTCAGTCTTAATCTTACCTGCTAACGAYTGCGTCCGCGCTTCCGCTCATGTCGTTTTTGGCGCCAAGCGTCAACAAGGTATTTGAATCAGTCAATATTAAATTAACAGCTGAAGAACCTTGGGTTTTACTGTTAAAGTCAATCATCATTCGCAATCCTAATAAGGAGCTCCACGTGATGGCCACGTGATGCCAAACGCCTTTACTGGCGGGTAGTTTAGCAGTGTGCTTGACCGACCCATCGTGTACAACACCATAAAGGTCGCTAGAATCGTAGTAGATTCGAATYCCGGGAGAGTTGGTGTCTGATGAGAGAATGGTCTGGGCACCACTCGCCGCTAAGTCGATGTTSAACCAAAGTGCTACCGTCATGCCTTKCGAGCATAGATTAGGGTTACTGACACACTCGTTGGMGAAATCACCAAGATTGATTTGGCTGTTATATAATATTGAAAATATCAATGACAAACAGTTCATTAATATGTAAATAACAAAGTAMTATTGGATATTTTGGCGACTTTCACTAATGGTCGCAAATACGATGCTAAAGTATTGTTTTGAAGAAGTTGTTTGAATTTTATTTTCAAGGCATATTGAAGATAATAATGAAGTGACGCCAACCAAGAAATTGGGCTGGAGGTTTTTCATTGTTTRCGATGTCCTGCATTCAGTTTAAATGGTCAAATCATCAATCACAGTAATATTCAAGATCTGGAAATGTTATTTTTTTTTCGATCTAAAAAAAATAATGTCCTTTTTTCGTGATTTTGCATATTAACAAAAATCTTTAGTAGACGTCACTTAATTTGCATTTGTCCATTTTGAAATGCTTTTAAATCAAAAGATATAAATTTGAATATTTGTTTCCTTTGTAGAAGTAATTAGCAGCATGTTCGAATGAAATGATTTTCTAAAAGGGTTCATGTGCACTTTAACTTACTTGTTCTTTAAGCTTATGGCTGTAGTAGTTACCAGGGCTGCSCCTGGTCCTGCTTTGACGTTTGTAATGTCCGTTATCGCCGCTCTTCTGGAGAATACGTCGCTCAGTGTTGGCTTGTCCAGGGACCAGAAGTGTGTTGCGTTTTTATARCACTTAACTGATGTTAGAAATGAGAATAATGAAGTGCATTGGGTGGTACATATAGGAAAAATAGATGAATAACTAAATGGATGTGAGAATGAATGGATTGAGGATGGGAACAGGGATAAAGAATAGGGTGTTATAAATGATTGATTTATTAAATAAATGGATTAATATAGCATTGAATTGATTTGAATAGATATTTKTACTAATACGGCCGCCATCTTGAATTCAATTGTTTTAAGTWTTGATTCAGTAAGAAACTATGGGATGTCCAGGGGGCACTAMAMAAGAAATTCATAGACTGTAGAGCTTTGAGATTAAATATTAAAACATGAAAAAAGTAAATTAATGTAAATTTTGAAGCTCGAATGAGATCAGTAAATGAAATCTTTCCGTACTATATGGAGATGCCATATTCAATAMAATTGTCAAAAGCCTATCTTTAGCGGGACATATGAAAACCGATAATGCATTGCGGTCTTGGAATGCAATATATATCACATCAAAGTATTCAGGATTCAACGTTTTTAAAATAGCTGTATGTTACCTTKCCGATTGCAGTACAATACTGTCGCCTTTGTACTCCCAGGGTTGTGAAAAGACACATAATTCACTTGGATTGGATTCGCGTCATTGTACTGGAAAATACTAACATTGCCAACGTTCACTGCTATCCATRTAGCACTAAAGTCGACTCCAAACAATTTCCAGTTACTAGAACTCAAAGCACCCAATCCTTCTGCTACGCCTGTACTGTCCGACCCCGGAGGCCCAAAGCGATCGAGTATCAACTTTGAATTAGATTGAGCTCCAAATTTGAGGACATAGCGAGGCGACGATGCTGATGTTGTAGTTGCTAGAATCATATGTAGTTCTGTGGCWATGATACTAAGCACMGACGTGTCAGAGTAGACGCCAACAGTTGGGGATGTACTCGARGAG